CGTAATAAAATCCAACGGAATTTTCAATTAATTTTTTTTATTGGAAATAAAAATGTCAATTTAATTTTTTGAAAAAAAAAAAAAAATAAGGAAAAATTAATTAAAATTTTTTATTACGTAAAGGAAAAAAATTATTAACGATAATAATAATAATAATGATAATGAGAAAAAAACGCACAATATGCCTCGTAGGAAAATAAAAAAAAAAAAAAAAAAAACGGATGAGGAAGTTGAAAACTTTTAAAAGAATGATTATTGGTTTTTTTTTTAATAATAATAAACTACGATGACACTCGAGTGAAAATTTTAAATAATAATAGTAATAATAATAGGAAAAATTTATTTAATAATTACTTAATAATTAATAAACTATTGAATTATTTTGAATTAATAATCGATTATTGAATAATAATAATAATAAATTCAATTCGACTCGGATCAAGGTTTCATCAACCTTCACTACACTATTGATTTATTTGATTTTTATTTATTTATTTATGTACATAATTAAAAAAAATTTTTTTTTTTAAAAAGTTACATTGAAAACTATTAATATTTATGTATTTAAAAATAAATAAATAAATATGCTATTTAATAATTATTACTAAATAATAATAAATAGAGCAGAATAATTTCAAGTAGACGTAATTAAAAAAAAAAAAAAACATTTTTTCATTATTATCATTATTATTATTATTATTTTTTCATTTGAAATTTACGAAATAAATTATCATTATTATTATTATTATCATCATCAATACTAAAAAAATATTATATTTATTTCGGTAAGGAATTATTTATTTATTTTTTTCTGGAGTGTAAGTCGAAATTTTTTTTTTTTTTTTAATAATTTCCTGTTGTACAATAAAATTTGGTAATAAATTCAAATAGTAATAATAATAATAATAATAATTTCGTAAATTTCGAATGAAAAAATAATAATAATAATGATAATAATAATTTTAATTGATTTTTGCGATTTGATTGGGTTTTTTCGTCCAAAAAAACGATTTCAATGCATAGTTTTTTTTTTCTTCTTCTTCTTCTCCTTTTATTAAATAAATTATTTAATAATAATAATAATAATAATAATAATAATAATAATAAATGAATGGTAACGACGTAAAACATTACATAACAAATAAATAAGTTACGAAAAAAAAAATGTAATAAAAACGAGTTTTATTAATATCCATATATATAAAAAAAAAAAAAAAATTTTTTTCTAAAACGTTCTACTTAGTAAAAAAAACGTAAAAACGGAAAAACGACGAGTTGAAAGGTGGAAATGATAAAAAAAAAATGCTCGAAGGAATGATAATAATAATAATAATAATTAAATTTACCAAACGGTAAAAAAAAAACAAGAACAAGTTGTTAAATGTAAACAAATGAAAAAAAAAAAAAACTTGTGGTCAGGAAAAAATGATAAGAGTTGTTTCGTGATTGATAAGATTACCTCAATTCGAATTACCTAATAAAATACAATTCGTTTTTTTTCCGTTAAAATTTTTTTTTACCTCCAATTATTATTATTATTAATATGTTAATAATTTAACCGTCTTTATCGCAATAATCCTATTAATTAAGACAATAATTTAAATAAATAAATAAATTTGTCGATTGATCTGAATTCAACGCCTTTTTTAAAACAAGCCTCATCATCGTCCTTGACCTTGTGTCGACCTATTGTTTATTGTATTATCATTATCGCCCACCTTTTCTCTCTCTCTCTCTCTCTCTCTCTCTCTCTCTCTCCAAACCGGAAGTGTGAAATTAACGAAGATTTAAAGAGTTAAATGAGGAGGAGAAAAACAAAAGAGAAAAATCGATAAAAAAATAAAATTTTTTTTTTATTTCGTCATTCATTCGAATATGTGCTTGCGTGTGTGCGTGTGCGTGTGCGTGCGTGTTACGAAATTTAATGTACGGTTGATAAAATAACTTCTTGATTTAGTGATTGACCCAGAATAAATAAATTTTATGACTGCGAATAGAAAACAGGGAAAAGTAAAAACAAAATGGCTGTGCAAGGATTTTGTAATTTACTTTAATATAATAATTACAAAAATCGAACCGTTAATAATAATAATGATAATAAAAAACGTACCTTTGGCGTTAAAGAGTTCGAAAGT